ACTACCCACACATCCAGCCAAGCCATAGGACAGGAAGTTTTCTCACCTACATTTCTAACAACCACACATACAACCAAGCCACAGGACAGGAAGTTTTCTCACCTACATTTCTACTAACCACACATACAACCAAACCATAGGACAGGAAGTTTTCTCACCTTCATTTCTACTAACCACACATACAACCAAACCATAGGACAGGAAGTTTTCTCACCTACATTTCTAACAACCACACATACAACCAAGCCATAGGACAGGAAGTTTTCTCACCTACATTTCTACTATACCACACATACAACCAAACCATAGGACAGGAAGACATTAATGTTTACCTTTTTAATAAGTTACAAATAATTCAAACAACATTATTTTTAAACAAAAGATTTTTAAACCTGATGTTATTCTTACTGTTGATAAACTTGAGTGAGTTACTAGAGAAGTTATACATACGTCGGTGACATGACAGGGCTGGAACTCTCTTCCTTGTCTAGCCTCGGGGATGATTCTTGTACAAGAGTTCGACAAGATGCTAGCTTGGATTCGAGAGCCTACATAAGGGTAGGGCAGAAATCCAGCAAAGTTAGCTACAAACAGTTAGTAAAGCCGCTAAAGCAAAGGCTACAAGAAAAGACTTTAATTCATCCCACACTGAGCAGACATGTTCAGCAATAGCATTCTCTTCATAAAGAAATACAAATAGTTGTGACAGATATTGTAAAGCTCTTCTTGGGAACATGAGCTCCTCAATAATACAATGAAGCTGTACACAAAACATTTCATGACAGCTGTGTATTATAGAAATCCTTCCTATGTAATACAGGTAATCTACAAAACATTTCATGACAGCTGTGTATTATAGAAACCATTCCTACACAATAAGAGTAATCTACAAAACATTTCATGACAGCTGTGTATTATAGAAATCCTTTCTACACAATAAGGGTAATCTACAAAACATTTCATGACAGCTGTGTATTATAGAAATCCTTCCTACACAATAAGGATAATCTACAAAACATTTCATGACAGCTGTGTATTATAGAAATCCTTCCTACACAATAAGGATAATCTACAAAACATTTCATGACAGCTGCATATTATAGAAATCCTTCCTACGCAATAAGGGTAATCTACAAAACATTTCATGACAGCTGTGTATTATAGAAATCCTTCCTACGCAATACAGGTAATCTACAAAACATTTCATAACAGCTGCGCAGGAACTGAGAAGACTACTGAGCTACACACATCACAAAAACTGTGCAGGAATTCAAAATAAGGTAACACACATTCCTCGTGTAAAGTTTAGAATATTTAAATACTAATGAAACTATCCATGCAGACCACACTGTCATCGTGTAATTTAAGTCATGCAAGCTCGAGATATAGACAAGTTTTAGGGAAACAGTTTGACTTTCAAATCCACCATAAATATCGAAACTGAGCAAAATGAAGTCATGAAAACCTTTTATTTGTTGTTCGGAAAGCAGCGTAATATAAAAGATCGACATATTAATTTGTTTAACATCCGTAAACAGTATTGTTCCCAAAATCACTTGTGTACTAGGAATTCGTCCATATTTCATTATACCCCCCCCTTTGGCACACAAATTTATAATTGTCACTATGTTTGGTGAAGATAAAATCCATAATCACGGGGCAAGGGAGGACTACTTGAAAACAGAAATGCAGATTAAAAAGGATGAGTCAAGCAAACATTCAACAGCATTTACAAGCCGAAGTTTTTAGTGCCCCACTCAGCAATCCCTGCATGCACAGATTAGCAGAAGAGGATTGTGAAAAAGAAAAAAATCAATTACACATGTAAAATATTTTATGTGTCACATTGCTTTAAATATAGAATTCTTGTAGTTATCACCTATACTTTGGCAAAAGTAATATTACATTATTTAAATACACTAAGAAAATCCCAATTAGTTTTTAGTTGTTATATCAATTAATTAAGTTACACGTTTAGTGCATTAATTTTCTTGAACACATTTTTCACTGAAGTTTCCAAACATCATATAAATACTTGCAATATTTTTCTTACAATAAAGAAATTATTTACAAATTTCCGAAATTAAAACAACAAAAAAACCTGCAGAATGATGAACTGGAAACTTACTCCAATCTTTCTCAATAAGTCTCCAACGATATTAAGAGCAGATATTCTGGCTGAAGGAGTGAGACGTGTGTGTCCAGTAGGTGGCACCACTATATAAAAGGAAAAAAAAAGTAGCTTAAGATAATCAAGAGTGAACGACTCAAACTAGTAAGTCAAGTTTCTGAAAGCTATTTCTCAATTAACCAATTCTACGTGTCTTGGCTTGGTTACTTTGAACGACTCAAACTGGTAAGTCAAGTGTCTGAAAGCTATTTCTCAATTAACCAATTCTACGTGTCTTGGCTTGGTTACTTTGAACGACTCAAACTAGTAAGTCAAGTTTCTGAAAGCTATTTCTCAATTAACCAATTCTACGTGTCTTGGCTTGGTTACTTTGAACAACTCAAACTAGCAAGTCAAGTTTCTGAAAGCTATTTCTCAATTAACCAATTCTACGTGTCTTGGCTTGGTTACTTTGAACGACTCAAACTAGTAAGTCAAGTTTCTGAAAGCTATTTCTCAATTAACCAATTCTACGTGTCTTGGCTTGGTTACTTTGAGCGACTCAAACTAGTAAGTCAAGTTTCCGAAAGCTATTTCTCAATTAACCAATTCTACGTGTCTTGGCTTGGTTACTTTGAGCGACTCAAACTAGTAAGTCAAGTTTCCGAAAGCTATTTCTCAATTAACCAATTCTACGTGTCTTGGCTTGGTTACTTTGATCAACCTTGTAACCATGAAACTACATGTATCATAACCAAAAATTTAATTAGGAAACATTACAAAACATGAAAAGTCAGATCTTTTATAAAGTACGTTAATTAAAGATTTGTTTATGATGTCTTTATTAAATCAGTTCATGATTTTCGTGCTAATAAAACCACTTCTTTTCATTTTATTTGTATATTTCATTCATATAACTTCTAGAACCTCATAAATTAATAACAAAAACATTTCTACTAAAACTTTATATTCTATCTACCCTAACACTGATTTTAGTAAAATCATCAACGTAGATGAAATGAAAAGTTGAAATTAAAATACCCGTTTTATACAATGACAGCAAATTGTGACAGTTACAACTATTTGTCCTGACAGTCACAGCTTTCTAAACTTGTCAAAACTACTTTCTTCAGTTTTTATTGCTAGTAGACATCTCTTAGTATTTGTGTTTTTTTTCTTCCAGAGCAAAGCCAGATTGGGCTATCTGCTGTATCCACCACGGGAAATCAAATCTCGGACTGTTTGCATTGTGTAAACCTTAGTGTAAACAAATAGTCGAGTTACAACATGTGACTTTACACCTTGTGAATTACACAAGAGAACTGAGCCAGTGATAATAAGAAACTTATATTTAAGTTGTATAACTTGAAGACATAAAAAATCCACAATATCTTTACCTTTATTTAGTGTACCTGTTTGTGTTTGATGCTCTGATCTCAGCTTGTTTGAGTCAATATCCAAGACAGTTTTTTTTATTCTACTGTCATTGTCAAGAGGTTTACTTAAACTCTTATGTATGAGAAGTTCTTGTCGAAGATCTGAAAGAAAAAGTTTCTTTTAGAAGCACATCTCAAGTTTCTACAAACTAACAACCAAATCCTTTAGTAACAGGGGAAAAAAGAAAAGAATTAAACACCTATATACACACCTCGTGCTTCGTCTTTCAAACGCTGAACTAGGCCTGCCAATGTTTCTTTCTCATCCAATTCACTTTCTAAGAAAGCATTTCTCTCGATAGCCTAAAGCACAACAAAATCTACTATTATACTTCAAATTGAGAAGTTTTTCTTTCAAACAAATATCTTTATAATTATCACAGACCAAGTTTTCAGCTGGTTAATCCCAATTGTGATTTGAACAAAAGAGGACTGGCATGACAAGACCAATAAGAAAATGACCATCCAGAGAGGACTTTATGACCTCAAAGGTATCCTATTTCATACATTACAGAGCATGCAAAAAGAATAAAACAAAGTCATATGTGTAAGAACTCTTCTTAAATACAGTAGTCAACATTTGCTAGGGATAATGTTTCATTTTGAGTATATGTCAAACACCTGGATAAGTCATTTTTACACGTTATTAAATTCTGTAATATTTAACTTGGATAACAGAGCCTGATGCACCCTGTGGTGGTGTTAACGAGAAAACTTTCAAAATCAACAGTCGTCGACAGAAGTGTCCAATTCACAGTCAAGATGCTTTCAGTAGTCTGTGTGACCACCTCGAACGTTACTGACTGCTGCACATGCTCATGATAAGATTAGCCAATCACTGTTGCGGAATGTTTTGCCATTTTTCAATAAGAGGTCCTGGTGTGTTCTTGGTGGGGGCTTGATGAGTTTGTAGCCTTATCTGTAGCTCCTCCCAGATGTGCTCTATTGGGTTGAAGTCAAGATACCTAGCTGGCCACTCCATCCTGGGAGTTCCTCCAGCTTTCAGGAAGGCAGTCATTACCCTTGCACGGTGTGGATGTGCATTATCATCCATAAGTAGGAAGTCTGGCCATGTTTCACCTGCATATGGACGAACAATTAGTGCATAGATCTCACTTCTGTATCTTAGGCTGGTGAGCCTTCCATCTCGGATATTACAAAGTCGTATACTTTGTAATCATTGAGGAGGCTGAGTCATGGTGGGGGGAAGGCATCTCAATTGCAGGCCCGATACGGCCTGCAATTGAGATGCCCCCCCATGACTCAGCATCCTCCAAAACGATCATGTTCAATAACATTATGAGCCAAATTGTGCTCACCAGGGCATCTAACTCTCCTGCATCTGTCAAGAAAGTTCACACAATAACGGGACTCGTCAGTGAAGAGTACATCCCTCAATTGTTGTGCAGTCCACCTCATATGTTCTCTAGCCCACTGCAGTCGTGCCTGCCTGTGCTGTCGGCTTAAACTCTTTCAATACGGGGTCAGTCAATGTAACAATTTTGTGCTTGTTATAGTTTTCATGCTATAATTTTTAAATTAGTAAGCGAATGTCAATGAAATTTGGCAGATTATCAGTAAACATTACAATGCTTTCATATGCAAAATATATAATTTTTTATTAAGTTGGAAGGTTTGTAAAGCAATGTTTTTCTCATGTCTATTTCTTATTTTCACATCTTGTCTATCTATCATGCAAAGTAATTTTCATTTTAAGATTAAAAATGCTTTAATGCATAAGAAAATTTTGAAATTTCACATGCAAAATCTTTATATGTCCAGATAGTTATCAAATGTTTCTTAAGAAAAAACTTTATATTTTATCTGTTATTTTCAGTAATTATTGAACACAAGTTATAACACGAAAACATAAATGTTTAGACTAAATAGTTTAAATCTCCTAACATTATACATATATTTATTACTTTTATTATATTGACCTTTCAGTTGTGCCTGGCTAGCAGTATATAAGTTACAATGACGAGGCTCACGTGCACTCATGTTACCGTATCAAATAACATAAAACTGACCTTTAGTCTGTACAAAGTAACTAGTCTTGGCTGTGTTTTAGTGAACTAGTATTTTGTAAAATACAGTCACATTTCAATTATTATACATTATATATGTATATAGATTATTGCTATTTTGAAATAACTTTTAAAACTTATTTTCTTAAAACACAGAACAGTAAATAAAGATGTAAAGCAAACAATTATCTCTTCTAGTTATGCCCTTTGTACTCAGTTGCAAAGCCTTTAAGAATTTTGTACATTGAGGATATATGAAACAAATGAGTCAACAAATGAGATGACATGTCTTGAAAGGGTTAACATTAGTGTACCTATTACGTAAAAATATGATCCCTAGCAAATGTTGACTACTGTAGTTCAGATTCTCCTCTTTGTCATACTGGT